ACACCGCTCCCCTGCATGCCTTCCTTCATCATATGTCCAAATCATCTCAACTTTGCCTCTCTAATGGTTTGTCCAAACCCTCCGACATATTCATTTCTAACCACTGCATAATGGAAACATCTCTCATGCTGAAGACGCACCAGCCGTCTCATCCTAACACATGCTTATGTTTCTTATTTCCAGCACTGTGTGATCATTCGCTACGGCTATGTATATTTTGGTTTGGCAAATTAGCAAACCCCCTCTTTTGTGGCTGTGGCATGTGGCTGATCTGTGAGTGCCAACATGAGACACAGAGGACAAAACTATCCGTGTGTTTATATAGTATCACCATTTTTGGCCGTGATTTTGAATTCAACCCAGAATAGTTATGAAATGTTTACTTAATCGGCCAATCAGCTGTCAGTTTTTACAGATATTTGCACTCATTAATCCTTAAGTTAATGAGTTATGGCAAAATATAACGTCACCTGCTGGTTCCAACTTGTCACATGTCTGTATTATTTGATGATTTATATTTCTTTTATATCAGCTTTGTAATAAAACTATTCATTTCAAAAAACCCATTTTGGCTTGTCAAACAACTGAAGTGAGAGTGATGCTAGTTTGACGTTTCCTACTCTTGAGGAAAAGCATTCATTGGTGGAGGAATGTTCTCTGTTTGTACTTTGATTCCTGAGAACTGTCAGCAAAGACAAACAAAAAGATTTTTCCAGGAAGGCGAATGAGATCATTTGTGACGCCTTGAGAAAGCTACCTTTCTTTCTCTTTCTCTTTTCCTCCTGTCTTCCAAGCTGCTCTTCCAGTCTCGCTCCACAGCCACCCGGCTGCTGATCTCTACTGACACCTTGAGGTCAGGAGACGCTTCTGCACAACTATGCTCGACACTCAAACGAAACTTGACCCTAACCTTCGTGTTACCTTCGTGCGACACACACCTCGGCCCGATTTCCTTTTATGTATAACCTAGCTGTGGTGCTTGTATCCTCCAGGTTCCCTGCGGGTGTCAGTGTGCCTATGGAATAGTGGGACTTAATTTTGTGCTACAGTGCTTGGCTGCGCACAGTCAGATACAGAGGAATGCAGAGATACAGACACATAAACACAACAACTACTTGGGGAGCATTTGTGAGAGCCCTGAGGAGACGTAGTCTCACACACACACGAGCAAACACACGCATACACACAGATACTCGCAGAACGATGTGGGATAAACAGTACATCCATTGTAAGCTCCAGGAGCCTGCTGGAAGAGATTGTTTTGATGAAGCAGCAAGGGCACACTAGCACTGAGACTAAATGTAGCATGGCTATGATGGTTGAATTCCCAGACAGTCGGGACCTTGGCAGCTGCCTCCAGTTTGGCTCACAACTTTCTGGGTTCTTGGTTTTACTGTAGGGAAAATGGCTGTGTGCCTTTTTCCCTTTTCTGATTGCAGCTTTGCACTGTACAGCGACTGTGTGTATCTGAGCGCGTGCAATGGCTGTGCTCTTGTATCTGGAGCCTACACGGTGGCCCGGGGTCGAGGCCAAAGTAGAATTTGTAAGTGATGGAATTTCACAGACACCGAGCACCCAGCGGCCAGCGAAACCGCAAGCACTCACATTTACAACAAACGCCCTGCCCCGCTCCGCGGAGACTCCTGAATGGCAAAGCCATTTGTCTCTGTGAAGGGCAGAGGGAGGAAAAAGCGAAATAAAATCAGAGGCAGAGTGCTTAAATGGAACAATGCTTTTTTTTTTTTTGTTTACGACTCCAAACTACTCAGACAGACACACGTGAAGCACACACTCATTGCTCTGAGGTTAAATTGGAATTAAAGAGAAGGAAAGGTGCATACCCTGTTGCTAATTAGCATTTTCTGTGCTCAGCAGAAGAGGTGGAAGAATCGATAAGATATTAAGTTTGTGTATCGCAATGAAGCACGCAATCGCTTTCATCCATTAGCAACAGCAGATTAGAAGAGAAACACGGGCCAAGAAAACAGCAAAACTTTAACCTTTGTGGTTTGAATGAATAGATCCTGTTTGGCTTTTTTATGTTATTTAGCTTTATGTTGCTTAGTTTTCAATATTAGCAATGCAATCATGCTTGAGATGATTAGATTATAGTCATTCACACT